CAAAACAGAGATATAGACGAATGGAACAGAACAGAGGCCTCAGAGGCAACACCACACATCTACAACCATCTGATCTTTGACAAACCTGACAAAAACAAGCAATGGGGAAAGGATTCCCTGTTTAATAAATGGTGTTGGGAAAACTGGCTACCTGTGTGCAGAAAGCAGAACCTGGACCCCTTCCTGACACTTTACACTAAAATTAACTCCAGATGGATTAAAGACTTAAACATAAGACCTAACACCATAAAAACCGTAGAAGAAAATCTAGGCAAAACCATTCAGAACATAGGAGTAGGCAAGGACTTCATGACCAAAATACCAAAAGCATTGGCAACAAAAGCCAAAATAGACAAATGGGACCTAATCAATCTCCACAGCTTCTGCCTGGCAAAAGAAACAGTCATTTGAGTGAATTGGCAACCAACAGAATGGGAAAAAGTTTTTGCAGTTTACCCATCTGACAAAGGGCTGATATCCAGAATCTACAATGAACTAAAACAGATTTACAAGAAAAAAAACAAGCTCATTCAAAAGTGGGCGAAGGATATGAACAGACACTTTACAAAAGAAGACATACATGAGGCCAACAAACATATGAAAAAATGGTCGTCATCACTGGTCATTAGAGAAATGCAAATCAAAACTACATTGAGATACCATCTCACGCCAGTTAGACTGGCAATCATTAAAAAATCGGGAGACAACAGATACTGGAGAGGATGTGGAGAAACAGGAACACTTTTACACTGTTGGTGGGAGTGTAAATTAGTTCAACCATTGTGGAAGACAGTGTGGCGATTCCTCAAGGACCTAGAAATAGAAATTCCATTTGACCCAGCAACCCCATTACTGAGTATATACCCAAAGGATTATAAATCTTTCTAGTATAAGGACACATGCACACAAATGTTCACTGCAGCACTGTTTACAATAGCAAAGACCTGGAACCAACCCAAATGCCCATCAATGATAGACTGGCCAGGGAAAATGTGGCACATATACACCATGGAATATTATGCAGCCATCAAAAATGAGTTCGTGTCCTTTCTAGGGACATCGATGAACCTGGAAGCCATCATTCTCAGGAAACTGACACAAGGACAGAAAATCAAACACTGCATGTTCTTACTCACAGGCAGGTGTTGAACAATGAGAAGACATGGACACAGGGAGGGGAGCATCACACACTGGGGTCTGTTGGGGGGAAACAGGGGAGGAACAGCAGGGGTTGAGGAGTTGGAGAGAGATAGCATGGGGAGAAATGCCAGATATAGGTGATGGGGAGGAAAGCAGCAAATCACACTGCCACATGTGTACCTATGCAACAATGTTGCATGTTCTTCACATGTACCCCAAAACGTAAAATGAAATTTAAAAAAGCGGTAAAGGGTAGATTAGATTACTACTGATTCCTCAGAAATACAAACTACCATCAGAGAATACTGCAAACAACTCTATGCATGTAAACCAGTACATCTGGTAGAAATAGATAAATTCCTGGAAACTTGCACATTCCCAAGTCTAAGCCAAGATGAAGTTGAAACCCTGAATAGACCAATAACAAAACTGGAAGTCGAGGCAGCAATTAATAGCCCACCAACAAAAAAAAGTCCAGGTCCAGAAGTGTTCACAGCCAAATTCTACCAGACATACAAAGAGGAGCTGGTACCATTCTTGTTGAAACTATTCCAAACAATACAAAAAGAAGGACTCCTCCCTAACTCTTTCTATGAGACCAACATCATCCTGATACCAAAAATCTGGCAGAGACACACCTAAAAAAGAAAACTACAGGCCAATATCCAAGATGAACATTGATGCAAAAATCTTCAATAAAATACTGGCAAACCAAATCCAACAGCACATCGAAAAGCTTTTCCATCACAATCAAGTAGGCTTCATCCCGGGGATGCAAGGCTGCTTCAATATATACAAATCTATAAACATAATTCATCACATAAATGAAACTAAAGACAAAAACCACGATTATCTCAATAGATGCAGAGAAGGCCTTTGACAACTTTCAACAGCACTTCATGCTAAAAACTCTCAATAAACTAGGTATCGATGGAACGTATCTCAAAACAATAAAAGCTATTTATGACAAATCCACAGCCAATACAATACTGAATGGGAAAAAAATAATAAGCATTCCCTTTAAAAACTGGCACTAGACAAGGATGCCCTCTCTCACCACTCCTATTCAATCGAGTATTGGAAGTTCTAACCAGAGCAATTAGGCAAGAAAAAGAAATAAAGTGTATTCATTTAGGAAAGGAAGAAGTCGAATTGTCTCTATTTGCAGATAACATGATTGTATATTAATTAAGAAGACTCCATTGTCTCAGCCCTAATTCTCCTGATTAGCTAAAGGTGATAAGCAACTTCAGCAAAATCTAAGGATACAAAATCAATGTGCAGAAATCACAGGCATTCCTATATACTGGTAACAGACAAACAGAGAGCCAAATGAAGAACGAACTCCCATTTGCAATTGCTACAAAGAGAAAAAAATACCTAGGAATACAACTAACAAAGGAGTAAAAGATCTCTTCAAGGAGAACTACAAAAAACTGATCAAGAAAATGAGAGAGGATACAAACAGATGGAAAAACATTCGGCTTGTAGTTTGGAGGATGCAATATTGTGAAAATGGCCATACTGCCCAAAGTAATTTATAGATTCAATGTTATCCCCAACAAGCTACCATTGGCCTTCTTCACAGAACTGGAAAAAAACACCTGAAACTTCATATGGAACCAAAGGAGAGCCCACATAGCCAAGACGATTCTAAGCAAAAAGAACAATGCTGGAGGCATCATGCTACCTGACTTCAAACTATACTACAAGGCTACAGTAATCAAAACAGCATGGTACTGGTACCAAAACAGAGATATAGACCAATGGAACAGAACAGAGGCCTCAGAATCAATGCCACACATCTGCAACCATCTGATCTTTGATAAACTGGTTAAAGACAAGCAATGGGGAAAGGATTCCCTGTTTAATAAATGGTGTTGGGAAAACTGGCTAGCCATATGCGGGAATCTAAAACTGGACCCCTTCCTGACACCTTATACAAAAATTAACTCCAGATGGATTAAAGATTTAAACATAAGAACATGATAAAAACCCTAGAAGAAAACCTAGGCAAACCATTCAGGACATAGGCACAGGCAAGGACTTCATGACTAAAACACCAAAAGCAATGGCAACAAAAGCCAAAATAGACAAATAGGACCTAATTAAGCTTAAGAGCTTCTGCACAGCAAAAGAAACAATCATTAAACTAGCAACCAACCAAATGGGAAAAGATTTTTGCAATCTACTCATCAGACAAAGGGCTTATATGTAGAATCTACAAAGAACTGAAACAGATTTACAAGAAAAAAAACAAACCCACTCAAAAGTGGGCAAAGGATATGAACAGACACTTTTCAAAGGAAGACAAATATGCGGCCAACAAACATGAAAAAATGCTCATCATCACTGGTCATTAGAGAAATGCAAATCAAAACCACATTGAGATACCACCTCATACCAGTTAGAATGGTGATCATTAAAAATTCTGGAGACAACAGATGCTGGAGAGGATGTGGAGAAATAGGAACACTTTTACACTGTTGGTGGGAGTGTAAATTAGTTCAACCATTGTGGAAGACAGAGTGGTGATTCCTGAAGATCCAGAAATAGAAATTCCATTTAACCCAGCAATCCCATTACTGGGTATATAACCAAAGGACTACAAATCATTCTATCATAAAGATACATGCACACATAGGTTCACTGCAGCACAGTTTACAATAGCAAAGACCTGGAACCAACCCAAATGCCCATCGATGATAGACTGGATGAAAAAAAATGTGGCATATATACACCATGAAACACTATGCATTCATAAAAAATGATGAGTTTGTGTCCTTTGTGGAGACATGGATGAAACTAAAAACTATCATTCTCAGCAAACTGACATAAGAACAGAAAACCAAACAACCCCATGTTCTCACTCATAGGCAGGTGTTGAACAATGAGAACACTAGGACACAAAGAGGGGATCATCACACACTGGGGTCCGCTGAGGGGGAGCTACAGGAGGGATAGTGGGAGAGAGGGTTGGGTAGGGATAACATCAGGAGAAAAGTCAGGTATAGGTGATCAGAGGATGGTGGCAACAAACCACCTTGCCATGAATGTACCTATACAACAATCTTGCATGATCTGCACATGAACTCAGGAATCTAAAGTATAATTTAAAAATATATATATACTGAGTGTCAACTTGATTGGACTGAAGGTTACAAAGTATTGTTCCTGGGTGTGTCTGTGAGGGTGTTGTCAGAGGAGATTAACATTTAAGTCAGTGGACTGGAAGAGGCAGACCAACCCGCAATCTGGGTAGGCACCATCTAAGCTGCCAGCACAGCTAGGATAAAAGTAGATGGAGGAATGTGAAAGGACTAGACTGGATGAGTCTTTCTGGCCTCCATCTTTCTCCCGTACTGGATGCTTCCTGTCCTTGAACACTGGACTCCAAGTTCTTCGGCTTTTGGGCTCTTGGATCTAAAGCAGTGGTTTGCCAGGGATTCTCAGGCCTTTGGCCACGGACTGATGGCCATACTGTTGGCTTCCCCGCTTTTGAGATTTTGGGACTCAGACTAGCTTCCTTGCTCCTCATCTCGGAGATGGCCTGTTGTGGGACTTTGTCTTGTCATGGTGTGAGTCAACAGTCCTTAATTAACCTCCCTTTCATATATACATCTATCCTATTAGTCCTGTCCCTCTACAGAGTAATTAATACAGTGATGATTATGGCATGGGGAGGCATGATTTGGAATTCAACACAATTTACTTGGGGGAAAACTGCTTATAACTGGGTTTTAAATAATTCCTGTAACAGCTAAACGAAGGCAGTATGTGATGTGGCAGTATTTTGTGTCTAAACATATTTTTTAAAGTGGCAACTGTTATGCACACAAGATATTTGAGATCTGTATTACCTTATCAAGTGCTGTGTATGGATTTTCTGCATTAAATCCAAGAGGGGCATAGCGTCTGAATCTCTCTCTGAACTCTGCCTGCTTTCCCTGATTAGTAGAAAAAAAAAGTGAATTTCAAACAAATACTTCAATTATCCTTGTAAAACCATTCTTAAAGCAAAACCTTGGTAACTAGCTTACATCAAACAAAACACATTTTTTCCTTATAAGAGTGACTTCGGCATTATGGAGGGGTGAGACTTCATGTCTGACAGTTGCGGCGATCTTTTTGGTAGTTTCCCATCTTTCAGGTAATTCCTGCAAAAGCAAAGATATAAGTGGGAAATTACTTCAATTCCTAAAACAAATCAACCCTATAGGATTAAATTACTCTAATTTCTCCGCCCCCCCCCCCCACCTTGACACAAGGTCTGGCCCTATCCCCTAGGCTGGAATGCACTGGCATGGTCTCAGCTCACTGAAACCTTCACCTCCCAGGTTCAAGCAATCCTCTCACCTCAGTCTCCTGAGTAGCTGGAACTACAGGTGTGCACTACCATGCCTGAGTACTTCTGTTTTTTGTAGAGAAGGTTTTACCATGTTGCCCAGGCTGGTCTTGAACTTGGGAGTTCAAGCGATTCACCTGTCTTTGACTCCCAAAGTGCTGGGATTATAGGCATGAGCAACCATACCCACATAAATGATTGCAATTTCTTTACACTAACCCATGACGTATTTTCATTGTTACATAGTTTATCAACAACAACAGCAAAACAATGAAAGTGATGAAAAGGCTTAGAACTAGGGCTGATTCACTGGCACTGCTGGGTTCAGAACACCAAAGCAGGTACCAGAATTGTTCTCATCTCAGAATCCATGGAAATCTTTTCAAAATAAACACAAATCTCCCAATTTTTTTGCTGCTGTGGGAATAAAATTAAAATGCTCTGAAAATGACTTCACTGATCTCTAACAACTAGAAATGAAAGCCAGCCAAGTTAAGTAATCTGGCAAGTGAAAAAAATATGCTTTGAAAATGGTGGGGCAAGGATGAAAATGTGAATCAATCACATCCTCTGCCTTTCTCTAGCTCTAAAAGCTCTGTACATTATCCTCCTTGTTTGAGCACTGAGGTCGGGTTTATTTTAGGTGACTAGGATTTTTTGAAGGGAGAAGAGGCAAAGGGAAGAAAGGTTAATTCCTACTTTATGTAGGACAAAAGACACAATAAATAGTTCAGGTACCAACTCAACTCTGCTATCCCTGCCTACAATGCAAATAGGACAAAAGCAAGTTATTTTCTTTGAGGAGCCACGCATGGGGCATAACTAACTACCATTGAAATGCATTTCTTGTGTCCCTGCTAACAAAGCATTGTTCCTCTGGGTCATCTCCTGGGAAACTGAAATTGGTTTGTCATACAAAACCACCCATAGTGATGGAACTCTACTTGTGTAGCTGAAGTACAAAATTCAAAGGTTCTAAAGACTATTTTGTAACCCTCAATAAATATTTGATAAATGATTCAGTAACTGCCAATTATGAAGAACGCACTGTGCTAAGTCTAAATACTATTTGAGTGATGAACAGGGTGCTAAAAGGTAAAACACATTCTCTGACTTAAATTGTTTTATAATCCATCAGAGTGAGTGAGAGTCACAAACAATAACTATTCTACACAACAGAATGTCTATCAGGAGGTCTATGCATTATGGAACCAAAACAGTTGGGAGATAACATGGTGTCATGACAGAAATACCAAACCAGCTCAGGAACTAAGGGGCCTGGGCTCTAAATCCCCTTGTCCTTCCCTCTTGTGGCTTCTCATCAAAATTCTGCATCCTCCTCTACATAGAGAGAGTCTCACTTTGCATTTCCAATTCCAATCCATGGAGCCTAATTATTGCATGGGGTCCCTTCAGAGGCCATGGCTGGGAAGCTAGGAAGAAATCACATCCATGAGCTCAGGCCCCCTTATCCCTCTTCAAACACAACAGACCTGCTTTATATTTGGGGATTCCAAACCAGTTTTTACTTGATAAAAATAAATTTTCTTCAAACCCAAAAGATCAGATGTTCTCCAAAGCCTCGCTAAGTCAGATGATCCAATCAAGGATGAGGTAACATTGAAATTGAGGCTCAACAAAATGACTAGGTTCCAACAGGCAGAGATTAGGGTGAGATCCCTTGAGGTATGACAGCCAATACAGGATGGCGTGAGTGTGTAACCTCTTATGGAAGCTGGACACCATTTGGGAAGTTAGGCACAGTTAGTGAAGGTTTCTGAGCAGAAAAGGGACTGGACAAATCCTGCAGATTAGAATATTCATCTTGTTTCAGAGTATATTGTGGGTGGGGTGTGAAAAAGGAATGAGATGAATTAAGGAGGAACTGCTGTGGTTGACGTGAGACATAACAATAATTGAGACAATGGGGTCTTCTAGATATACAATCATTTTGTTTGCAAATAGAGACAATTTGACTTCCTCCTTTCCTATTTGAATAACCTTTATTTCCTTTTCTCACCTGAATGCTCTGGCTAGAACTTCCACTACTATATTGAATAGGAGTGGTGAGAGAGGGCATCCTTTTCTAGTGCCAGATTTCAAAGGGAATGCTTCCAGTTTTTGCCCATTCAGTATGATATTGGCTGTTGGTTTGTCATAAATAGCTTTTATTATTTTGAGATATGTTCTGTCAATACCTAGTTTATTGAGGTTTTTTAGCATAAAGGGCTGTTGAATTTTGTCAAAGGCATTCTCTGCGTCAATTGAGATAATCATGTGGTTTTTGTTTTTGGTTCTGTTTATGTGGTGAATTACATTTATAGACTTGTGTGTGCTGAACCAGCCTTGCATCCCCGGGATGAATCCTACTTGATCATGGTGGATAAGCTTTTTGATGTGCTGTTGCAATCGGCTTGCCAGTATTGCATTGAAGCTTTATGCATTTATGTTCATCATGGATATTGGCCTGAAGTTTAATGAGAGCACATGAACACAGGGAGGGGAGCATCACACACTGGGGTCTGTTGGGGGGAAACAGGGGAGGGACAGTGGGGGTGGGAGTTGGGGAGAGATAGCATGGGGAGATGCCAAATATAGGTGAAGGGGAGGAAGGCAGCAAATCATGCTGCCATGTGTGTACCTATACAACAATCTTGCATGTTCTTCACATGTACCCCAAAACCTAAAATGCAATTTAAAAAGTAATAATAATAATTGAATTAAAATGGGTCTAACATCAATGGAAAGAGGCAGAAGACTGAAGAGAGGGTGCACCAACAGAAAGATCAAAGTGCTGGTGTTGAGTCCCCTTGACTTTAGGGAAGTCATACTTCATCTCTTAGTAGGCACAGCCAGACTTCAGGATGTTTTCACACAGAATTAAGCATAGACAAGTATTTGCTAAGTGTTATGACTTCTCAAAATAATAAAGGAGAAAATGAAAGTAACTATAAAGTTGCTTAAATTAAAATAAAATTGGTCCCTGTTACCCTCCAAATATACCATATACTGCCTATGAATCTTATTTTTCCTCCTGACAAGTCTAAATTACTGATACACAAGTAAAATTGTATCCTGCTTCTGAAATGTTGAAAAGCTTAATACTTTCAATACTACCATCACCTGAAGGAGTGACCCAAACTTTTATAATACAAATTCTGGAGGCCGTGTCTAAAATTCCCTCATCAGTTACTTATGTTATGACTACTTTCTCTGTGAGACATAGTTTAAGATCCATTCTGATTCAAGGAATATATAAATCTTCCTAGAAACAAGAAATATTTGTAGTTGCTTCTACTGTAACTGTTTTATCTCTTGGTCTTGGTATGTATCTATCTGTCTAGAACTTGTCATCTTGCTCCATGTCTCACTGGATTGCAAGCTCTAAGGAGAGTTTAATGCTTAAATAGAATTTAACAATTCATATACAGTCATTATTAATAGTCTTCATAGTCAAGAGAACACTTGTAAATACCTGGCTGCATTTAATCCTTACAAAGCAAAATGACAGAATATAAAACAGAACAGCCACTGTGAGAAACAGTTTGGCAATGGCTCAAAAAGTTAAATATGGAATTATTAGATTACCCAGCAATTCCACTCCTAGGTGTACTGAAAAGAACTGAAAACAGACATGCAAACAAATACACACCAATGTTCATAGCAGCACTACTGACAATAGCCCAAAGATGGAAACAACCCAAATGTCCATCAACAGACAAGCAGATAAACAAATTGTGGTATGGACATACAATGGAATGTTACTCACCCATAAAAAGAAATGGAACGCTGTTACATGCTACAATGTGCATGAACCTTGAAAACATTATACCAAGTGAAAAAGGCCTAACACAATAGGTCACATATTGCATGATTCCATCTGTATGAAATGTCTAGAATAAGTGAACCTATAAAGGCTGAAACAGATTGGCAACTGCCAAGGATTGGTGGGTAGGGCTTGGTGGAGCATGGAGGAGGATAACAGGGAGGGACAGTGAAGTGGCATGGGATTTCTTTCTGGGAGCAATGAAAATTTCTGGAAGTAGACAGAGGAGGTAGTTGTGCAATGCTGTACTAAATTGCACGTTTTTAAGTGGTTACTTTTATATGTTATCTGAGTAGTAAATTTCACCTCAATAAGAAAAGAAAAAACAGAAATTGATGGGAGAAATTATAGAGGAAGTTTTTAAATGAGGGATCATGAGGCATATTTAAGCAAAAAGGAAGTGTGGTCTTAGACATTAACAAACTTGCCAAGGCAAGCAGAGAAGATGAACTCATATAGTACTTGAAAACAAATCTAAATTTGCATTTTGTGCTCTGACTACCAAACAAGACGAATCCAGTGAAAGCTTTTTGGTTAATGTGTCCAACTGATCACAATTGCAAGGTTAAGTGTAAGTACGTGTGTGGACACATACACACACACAATTTATAGAATATCAATTTTGGCATAGAAAAAGAACATCAATTGTGAAACTGTGGTTTGTGGTCTATTATAATTAAAAAGACTTTGTTATTAAAAAGCTCCCAAATCTTTCCACGGCATGGAAACAGGAGGATGGCATAGAAATCTGTTTAGGAAACACAGTGATTTCCCCATCCAAATTGAGTTTCATTTATTTATGATGATTATCATTATTTTGAGATGGAGTCTCGCTCTGTCCCTAGGCTGGAGTGCAGTGGTACAATCTCGGCTTACTGCAACCTCCACTTCCTGGGTTCAAGCAATTCTCCTGCCTTAGCCTCTTGAGTAGCTGGGATTTACAGGTATGCACCACCATGCCTGGCTAATCTTTTGTGTTTTTAGTAGAGATAGGGTTTCACCATGTTGGCCAGGCTGGTCTCGAACTCTGGACCTCAGGTGATCTGCCTGCCTCAATCTCTCACAGTGCTGGGATTATAGATGTGAGCCACCACACCTGGCCTATCTATTCTTTATTAACATATCCATGATATGTTTGCAAGACTAGGACACTTCTCAATTGACAGGTAGTTTTTTTAATGAAAAAAAGTTGGATATATTTCATGTGTGAAATGGTAAAAGTGGACTCAAAAAAGCAACTTACACATTCTTTACAACCTACATAGTTTCTAATAAGAAGGCAGTGGAGCACAGTGGTTAAGACTAAGTATGTTGTCATAAAGCACACCCAGGGTATGGTAGCTCATGCCTGGAATCCCAGAACTTTGGGAGGCTAAGGAAAGAGGATTGCTTGAGCCCAGGAGTTCAAGACCAGCCTAAGCAGCATAGCAAGACCATCTCTACAAAAAATTAAAACATCAGCTAGGTGTGGTGACTTGCACCTGTAGTCCCAGCTACTCAGGAAGCTTAGGCAGGAGGATATACTATTTGTGTGACCTTGAGAAAGTCATTAAATCTCCTTAAGTATCAGATTCCTAACCTGTAAAATGATAACATCAAGTGTGTACAGTATAGATTGTTGTAAGGATATTGTAAGACAGTACATGTGGTAATTATGATTATTTCACCTCTGCACTTACCTCTAGCTGAATATAGACTTGCTCAGGCATCTTCTGACCATAGCTTTCCAAGAGGGTGATGGTTTCTTTTAGAGGTTCAAAGAGTTCATCAGTAGCTTTCTGTCGGCTTCTCACAGCCAGAAGATGCCCCATGATGTCAACTAAATCATCATGATCACCTTCATTTAATTCCCTCTGAAGTCCTGCATCTGTCTCCTTTATAAATTCTTGCAGCTCATTCAGACTATTAAATATATATGTACATATATACACACAAATTCAGTTTATTAAAACATTGAGTCGTATAAGATTTCTGATTGAATCTTATTTTCATTATGTACCTGATTAAACATTATCTCTATTACGAAATTGGCAACATTAATACTCTTAAAAGTAACATCTCAGTTTTACAAAGCAGTTTAGAAAGTTATATTTCCAAATACCAAAGTACAAAGGCTACCTGTCAATGACAAATCTCAAAAGATGCTCCTGAAACATCCAGCTCCATTTCTTAATTATGGTTAACAAGCTCACTTTGAAAGGCTTCATGTCCACCTTGAACCAACTATCAAACACTTTGAAGTCATCGAATTTGCTCATCTGGACATACAAAGCTTCATAAATGTCGATCTGTAGTTAGAAAAAAGTTAACTAGAACAACTCACTGAAAAGCCAGTTCACTACATTAAATGCTAAGCGTTTTCCTTGCCTGTTCTTTGAATTGCTCAAGAGTTGGTGGTTGTTCAGGAATTTCTTCGTTTGCATGTGCATCCATTTCCTCGGAAGATACAGCGTGACCGTACAAGAGAAAATGCTTCATAAACTCAGCTCGATCATCCATCCACAGGTAAGCATGGGTCTCCAGGGTATTTCTAAAATCTAAGACTTTTTTGATGACATTCGCCACTCTGTTCATAATCTCCTGCCTGACCTCTGCCAGGCCTAACATATTATCCATATCATTCTAAATGAGAGGAAAACAAAGCACTTATTATTCAAACCAATCTTGCTCTATCAATTATCTACAACATAACATTACCAAGGTAATTCTTCAAAGGGAGAGTGGTTAGAAAAATTAACAATCATGTTGCTTTCTCCAACTTCTGTTTTCCTTGTGCTTCCCATTACCCTAATTTGTTCCGGGTTTTGTTTTCCAGTGTTTTTGTTGTTGTTGTTGTTGTTTTGAAACAGGGTCTCACTTTATCCCTCAAGCTGAATTGCACTGGGTTCAGGGGAGCTCACTGCAGCCTCTAACTCCTTGGCTCAAGCAATCCTCCCGCCTGAGTCTCCTGAGTAGCTGGCACTATAGGTGCATGCCACCCCACCTAGTTATTTTTCTAATTTTTTGTAGAGATGGTCTTGCTATGCTGCTTAGGCTAGTCTTGAACTCCTAGGCTTAAGCAATCCTCTTGCCTCTGCTCCCAAAGTTCTGGGATTCCAAGCATGAGCTACCACATCCAGCCACAATTTGTTTTTGAATCATTAATATAAAAGTTAAATACATATTTACTAAGAAAATACCTGATAATTTTTTATTTCCAGATGTGTTGCTATTCGGTTCACCTGGGCAGACATTCTAAAACTATTGCATAGCATTTCTTCTACCAGATCATAGAAGCCATCCGCAGCCTCTCTGTCTAGAGAAGGTTTAAACACAATCTCGGGAGGCAATAAGATCATTTGTGTTTGAAAAAATGGTGCCGGTTTCAACTGTTTCTCTGTATTCTTCAGAAAGAAGTCTAAGTCGTGCATTATAGCCTGAAAAAAGCCTTCCACCACAATGTCATCAATGAATTCTACATAAATTTTCCAAGTATCCAGAGAGGGATCAGCTTTGAAGAGCTTCCTATTTTCCTAGAAACAGACAAGTATTAGTAGACGAATATAAATAAATAGCATAAAAACAAAATCTTTCCATTTAAATCGTTTGTAAAAGAAGAGACTGCATTTTTGTGGCCAAGGCAGGAACATTCAGGTACTCAGTTGCAGAACCTTAAGCTACATGTCCAAGATCTAAGCAGGAATTTAGAACATTAAGTTCACACGCGAAATACATTCAACAGTCATTTTTTCAAGGAAAGTTCACTACGAAGATTGCTATCTTCAGATACAGACAGGAAATACGCTAGCTCCAGATAAAGTCTAGAGATAATGGCCCTGGGCTCTAGTTTTTGCTCTGTCAACAACTCTGTGTCCTTAGACTTTGCCTTCCTGGGCCTTCCCTATAAATAAAGAGATCCATCAAACTGGTCCTTCAGAGAACACTGTTCTGGAACATCTGAAGACTATCAAGTCAGGGAAGTACTGTGTAGTCTATGCCATTCTTGGAGACGCACAATGTACCTATTTTATTAAAGCCCATTGAGGCTAGTACTGAAAAGTCAAAAAACAACAGATGCTGATGAGGTTGCAGAAAAAAAGGAATGTTTATGCCCTGTTGGTAGAAGTATAAATTATATTTTAGCTCAGCTACTGTGGAACACAGTGTGGAAATTCCTCAAAGAGCTAAACGCAGAAATACCATTTGACCCAGCAATCCTATGACTGGTACATACCAAAAGGAATATATGTCATTCTATTATAAAGACACGCACATGCATGTTCACTGCAGCACAATTCACAATAGCAAAGACATGGAATCAACCTAAGTACCCATCAATGATACACTGGATAAAGAAAATGTGGTACATGGACACCATGGACCACTGTGCAGCCATAAAAAACAATGAGATCATGTCCTTTGCAGGAACATGGATGGAGCTGGAGGCCATTATCCTCAGCAAACTAATGCAGGAGCAGAAAACCAAATAATGAGTGTTCTGACTTATAAGTGGGAGCTAAATGATGAGAACACGTGGACACATAGAGGGGAACAGCACACACTGGGGCCTAAAGGAGGATGGAGGTTGGAAGGAGGGAGAGGATCAGAAAAAATAACTAATGGGTACTAGGCTTAATACCTGGGTGATACAATAATTTGTACAACAAACCTGCATGACACACATTTACCTATCTAACAAACCTACACGTACTCCCCTCAACTTCAACGTTAAAATAAAATAAAGTCTGCTGAATGTGGTTTAGCCCAATTGTTTTCAGACCTTGTTTAAGCACAAAGAATTTTTTTTTTTTTTTTTGCAAATCATCTATGATAAGCAACTTGTGGAATAGGAAGTTCTAAGCTCCCTTCATGCCTCAAAAATATGAGCTTCTTGCACCTGAGCATCTCATCTCCCAAGAGTTTGGGTGACATAATGGACAAGCCAGTTGGGGAAAAAATAGGGCCTGAAGACAGAGGTATGGTTAAAGACCACTTCAGGCTGAGCACACAGTGTGCTTGGCCCAGGTCGGGTGGGCAGCAAAGTTGATTCCAGAGAGGCTGAGTGGCTAAACTTGCATAGTCTATACAGACCAAACAGCAGATGCCCAAGGCAGGAACTATAGCACAGAACAAAGGAGACATTGGAATGAGAGCTGATTATAAGGTAGACTCTCTGCTTTGACTATTCTTTACTACAGATATATGATCCAGATGCAAAAGTATGTGCTTTAAGCAAGAATCAGAACTGGAGAGGTGAGTATAGATCCTAAAAAGGCAGGGCACAGAGAAGAAAACCCTAGCCCTCAAACAAATTTAAGAGCGACTCCTTCTCAGGAATGCTGTGTTGCCTACCAGCCAGGTGGAACAATTCACATCTGTGTAATCATGTGACATGCACCCCTGGAATTGTGCAGTACACATCCTAGAAAAGTATACACAGCTGCCCCGGTCCCTTTGTAGGTACTAAAAGGGCAAAGTATAGGTCTTAGAGTTGAAGAAAAATCCTTAGAGGCCATCTTGTTAAGTCTCTTTATCTTAAAGATATTGATATGGTTTGGCTCTGTGTCCCCACCCAAATCTAATCTTGAATTGTAATCTCCACATGTTGGGTTTGTAGCCTGGTGGAAAGTGATTGAATCATGGGGGCAGACTACCTGCCCCAACCTGCTACTTGCTGTTCTCAAGATGGAATTCTCGTGAGAGCTGGTTGTTTGATAAGTGTGTGGCTCTTCCCCTTTATCCGTGCCCTCTGTCTCTGTCTGTCTGTCTCTCTCTCTCTCTCTCTCTCTCATGTAAGATGAACCTTGCTTCCCCTTTACCTTCTGTCATGATTCTAAGTTTCCTGAGGCCTCCCAAGCCATGTAGAACTGTGAGTCAATTAAACCTCTTTTCTTCATAAATGACCCTGTCTCAGGTAGTTCTTCACAACAGTGTGAGTACAGACTAACACAGATATGAAAACAAAGACCTCATAAGCATTCAGTGTCACACTAGTGGGAAGTTAATAGCTGAGCTAGCACTAGAAACCAGCCCTCTTGACCTCCCAGGGTAGGGCCTTTCCCATCATGTCACAGTCATACACTATTTCACACCGAAAGATCCAGTTTACATCACCACAGTCACACTGATGAGAAATGCTGTATATTTAGCACATGAGGGTAAAGGGAGCAAAAGAGAAGAGAGCTTTAGATCACTGAATGATCACCCAGGTCCCTTCCAGACCACTCTTCGATGGTCCTGCTCCTCTCTTCTCTCTGTCTTTAACTCTGACTCCAGACCACTCACTGACACCCCATTGGCCAGCAAAGATGCAGCATGCAAAAGGCAGAACTGCCTCACCCTTGGCCATATTTCTACTGCTTTTCCCCAAACCAAGCTCCTCACCAGAAGCCTGAGTACTAGGTTCAACATCATGTGCTAAGAGAAAAACAATCACTTAAAAGACCCAACTTATGGAAACAAATAATCATTTAATTTCCATTTTAAAGCTGGCTTGCATTCCCTCAAGGCGGAAGCTCTTTTCCATTCTCAGATTGAGAACAGTGATTTCAACGCTTCTTAGTTTTTGCCTTAAGGACAAAAAGAAGAGAATCCATTTATTTTCTATATTCATTAATGTAGAAAAAAATTCTAACATTTTTCTCTAACACTGCAAAACCTTGTTTTATGACACTTTCTAGTCATGTCTTGGCCATACTTTTAATGAATTTTCATCAGGATTCATAAATCTTAATGGTTTAAGAATCCTTGGAGTTTGGGGAGTACTTTTTTTATTATCAAGAAAACATAACAGAAAAAACTAATTGCAATCCATCATCTGTCTTCTATGAGACACGTTCTAACACATACACAGTTGTAGAGGTGTCTTCAAAGTCACAGAATAATTCACAGCATTTCAGTGAACAACTAGAAATAGTCCATGGCATGACTTAGTTAAGATACTGCTGAAAAACAAATAAACTTCCAGATAAATACCTCCTTTACATGTCAGAACGCCCCTAGAGTCTCTCCAGGCTTCAGGCCTTTGGCAGAGTGGGGGGCCTGCCCACACTCTGACCTCAGACTTCTAGCCTCTGGACTATGAGAGAACAGACTTCTTCCATTTTAACACACCCTGTCTGTGGATCTTGTCATGGCAGCCTTAGGAGGCTGTTTCAGGCAGTATTGAGGGAAGACAGAAACAAAGTCTTCGTCCTGGCAAATTGTCATTGATGGGAAAATTAAACCTTTCTTAGAAATTTCAGAAAACTTGTCAACAGAAATATTGAAACTCATGTAAATTATGTGCTTCTTTTTAATTTTCTTCTCCATATCTACTAGAACATAGCAAACATACTGTACTTTGCTTTTTGGTAAGAAAATCTGTTATCCTTCAGACCTTTTCTTCACTCAACCTCCTGCCCTGGTTTCCCTCCTACTGTCTCGTCTTTCCTTTTCTGTATCTTTGGCTGGTCGTCCTTCTCCCCAGTCTCCTAAGAGAAGAATGGTGGTCCAGCCAATAGTTCTTGATTTTTTTCTCTTCTCTAGCTAGACTCATGCTCTCAGTGATCTCATCCAGTCTCCTGGCTTAAATATCATTGCCACCCGCTCCTCTTTCATTTGTGTTTTCAGTTTGGACCCCTCTCCCTAACTCTAAATGAATAAATCCAATAGCCCTCTACTTGGCTAATTAACAGCTCAAATTGGAAATGCCTAAAACTGAAATCTTGACCTTCCCTGCTAAGTCTCTCGCCCTCACACTCTTCCCCATATGAATGAACTGCAACTTCACCTTTCTAGTTGATCATGACAAAATGTGTAGAATAATCTTTAACTTGTCTTTCTTTCATGCTCCACATCCAGTCTTTAGGAATTTACGTTTGCTCCACTTAATTCAAAATATATGTAGAATCCAACTACTTCTAATCACTTTCACTGTTACCACCCTGGTCCAACACCATCATCTGTTACATGCTTGTGCCATGCTCTGAATGCTTATGTACTCCCAAAATTCGAATGTTAAAATATTAACCGCCAAGCAGACGGTATCGGCGAGGGGGTTAGGAGGAAGTGGTTAGGTCCTGAGGGCAGAGACTTCAAATGGGACTAGTGCCTATATAAAACAGGCCCAGGGGAACTCGTGTGCCCCTTCCTCCATGTGAGGACACAGTGAGAAGTTGGCAGTCTGCAACCTAGAAGAGGGTCCTCACCAGAAACTGATCATGCTGGCACCTGGATCTCAAGAACTATGAGAAAATCATTTCTGTTGTTTTTAAGCTACCAGTTTACAGTATTTCGCGATAGCAGCATGAACATACGGAACCCCTAGATTACTAGAAAGAACAGCAACCTACCAGGTCACCCTGCCTCTTCCTTTGCCTCCCTGCAGAGTCTCAACGCAACAGCCAGAATTCCTTTTAGAATGAAAGTCAGATTGTATTTACTCCTCTCCTTAAAATTCTGCAGTGTCACATACCTCAGAGCAAAAGCCAGCATCTGTCTGTACAAAGCCTAAGAAGTCTCACCTGGCTGCCAGTCCCTCCCACGCAGCTTAGCATCTGATCTCACCTCAGCAATTCTCCACTCAGCTCCCTGTACTCCCCTGACACTACATCCCTGCTCTTCACTACATCCCTGCTCTTCCTCCACTATGCGCAGGGAGCTCCCGCCCACCTGCCCTGTTCTCTGCCTGGAACACTCTTCACCCAAAGGCCCACTTGGCTGACTCTATCGCCTTTGTTAAGTGTGTGTTCAAATTTTACTTTCAGGTTGAGGCCTACTCTGATCATCCTACTTAAAACTGCATCCTTGACCCCACCCTCCAGAATTCCCTTGTCTTGCTCGCATTTGATCTTTTTCCTGTAACATGTACCAGTTCTAACACACCGTGACTTACCATGTCAGTGCTTATTCTCTCTCCCCTCACTAGTCTCAAGCTCCATGAGAGAAAGGATCTTTGCTCTGCTCTCTTTATTATTTCAAAAACTGAGAAAGGTGCTCTCACAGTATTTCTCAAGCAAGTGAATGATGATGCACTGCCAAGACTAGATAATGGGTTGTATACAATTCTCAGCAGGAAAACCATCATCTATTTCCTGTTCTGCTGAGTTAGCCTAGAGCGAAGGACCTTTACTTTCTTTACACATGAGAAAATTCAGGCCCAGCCTCTAGAAGACTCTTGTTTCCAGCCTCTACCAAGGACATTTTCCCTACCCCATATTGTGGTTCTTCATGATGGATGCAGTGTGTGTGTGTGTGTGTGTTTGAATGTGTGTGAGAGAAAGGGTGTATGTGAGAGAGAAGGTGTGTGATATGTGAGTATTTGTGACAGAGAAAAAGAGTATGTGTGTGTGAGAGTATGTGTGTTACAGAGAAATTTTGTGTGTGTGCGTGTGTGTGGTGTCCTGCCCAGAGGAGAGTATTCATGGTTTGAGGACTGTGCCTGTCTATAGAGAAGACTCTACATAACAAGGGTGCAGAGGAAAGACAATATTCTCTTTCATTCCCATCTCTTTTTTCCTTAAGAAATAGGAACAACAAGAAATCAACTCAAGTTCCCATCATCAGCATTGCACATCTGTGAGCACCACATTCCTCCATCCCATACTACAGATGAATGCTCTGTGCTCCTATCTAAAGACACCTTCTACAGGCATTTATTAAATCCCATTCCCTCAATGGCTTTCTTCAAACAATTTTTTCTCCTTCCTAGATCACTGCGATTAACAAACAAACATCCCGAAATATCAACCACTATTAAAAATAAATCCCTCCCTACCCTGATACACAGGCTGCAGGCACTGTCCTGTTCTCAGTTTGCCCCACAGCAGAGTTCCTCAGGATCTTCTCAGCTGTCTCCACTCTCATTTCCCCATTCTCTCATCAGCCCACTCCCATCAGGCTTCCACTCTGCCACTGCAGGAAATCACCTCTTCTCATCCCAATGACTTCCATGTTACCAGATCTGAGAGTTAACCTCTGTCTTTATTTTCAGGTCTTATGCCAGGATGGGACCAAGTGGAGCTCTTCCTCCTCCTCCAAATTCCTTCTTCATTGGTTTCCAGGGCAATACTCTCTCTTCTTCATTACCCTGTGCTGCATTTTCCTCTGACCTAGGGAAGACTTCAAGTCTCATTTTTGGACCTCTTTTCTATCTCCAGTTCCTACATGTTCTTAATCTAATTATATGGCTCTAAATGCCACATATATGTGCATGAATCTCAATTCTCTGTTACTTACTTGGATTTTCTCCTGAACACAAGACACACTTACAATTCTAGTCTACCCAAAATGTCCCTTAGGACAAGCATCTCTAACTAACATATCTAAAACCAAACCTTTTTTTTCCTCCTCCAAAATCTGCTCACCACAATCTTCCCCATATCACTAAGGGGCAACTCCACTCCAGTCACTCAGACCAAAAACCTTGAAATCATCCTTGACTTCTCTCTCCTCTGATTCCTCAAAGCAAATTCTGCTGGCTCTGCCTTCAAAATATATGTGGGATATGAACTGCTTTTATCACTAGCACCATGACCCAAGGCAGCATCATTTCCCACCTAGATTATTAGACTAGGGTCTGAAGAGTCTCCCTGCCGACCACCTTCCTTGCTCCCCTGTGGCTTACCCTCCACAGGGAAAACTTTTCAGCAGGAGGTCTCTGGCTGCTCTTTCCTCTACGAGGACAGTAAAATCCAACGTCCTCGTAACAGCCTGCTAACCCCAAGTAATGTGCTGTTAGCCCCTTTTAAACCTCATCCTCTACTACAACACCCCTTGTGAATTCTGATCCCAGTTTGCTGACTGATCCTGGGACAGGACAGGTTGCTCCCACCTCAAAGCATCCATACTTTGGTTCTCCAGAATATCCTTCTCCTGATATCTGTATGCTTTGTTCCCTGTCAGTTCTCTGCAGAAAATGCTATCTTAGGAAACAGGCCTTCCCAACCACCCCTCCCCCAAGCGACTCCCTATCCCACCCGCTCTACTCTGTTTTTCGTCATTGCTCCTATTATAACGGACACATCAACTATTTGTTCTTGTCTCTTGCTAACTTCCTTGACTAGAGTGTAAGCTTCATGAAATAAAGAATTGGTGGGGGAGGGGTTTGCTTTTCTTTTTCTGCCTTCTGCCTTTTGTTTTTTATTTGGTGTCTGTTTTCTCTTAAATCCATAACCCTAGATTAGTGCCTATTACTGTTTTAGGAACTCAAATATTCGCTAAAAGGAGAGTAATTACGGTTGCCATCCTCAGGAGATGATTGAGGGGTTCCTTGAGATGATGTAAGCAGGTGTTTGGCACATACAAGGCAGTCAGCAAACAGTGGTAGCTATTAAGAGCATCCAAAAGAGGACGTTGCTGTGACAAGATAAAGATTCTATCACCAGCCTTTCTGTTTAATCAACACATCTCAGGGAACTCAGGAGTGAGAATAGTGAGGGCTACAGAAATTGTAGGCAAGTAACACAAATTCCCCCACTTTAAATGCCTAATAAACCCATTCATAAAGCTCTTTCAGGCTTAATGGAAGAGTCCCACATTATTAGGCTAAGTATTTTTGCTCTTCTCTGAACTCAATGCAAAGATCTATAAATCTTGAAAGCTTAAAAGCCATTACCTCAACCAAGCTGTGGATCTTGTGGCCATCTTCTTGGATTAACTTGTATTTTTTTGTAAACAAATCACCCTTGTCCTCCAAAGTGAAGGCCACCTCTCGTCTGTGCTCTCTCCTGGGAGGCAGTGCACACCCAGCCCAGGCTCTCATGGTCTGCTGGATCACCTTCACGTTGCTCTGCGTGTGCTCAACTCTGCACTCCAACTCAGCTGTGGCCGCCCTCACCCTCTCGATGTAGCTCCAGCAGTCGTCCTGCCATGTCAGCCACGTGGTGGCTGCTGTCAACTGCTTGTCAACAGCCCTCAGCTCATCTTCAATCAGAGGGTATTCAACTTCTAGGAGCGTCTGTTTCAGCTTATTATATCCTTGCACAAGAAGGTCAAGATTTCCAATGTACTGAAAGAAAGCCCAAAACAAAAAGTGCCAAATATGTTAGCTATGTTCTCTACCTTAAAAGTGTAAAAATGTCATGTAGGTCTATACATTAACAATTAAAATGCAAAATATTTCTATTCATAATAGGCCCTAGTATCTTTTTTAAAAAACACAAACCTTTAAAATGGTGTTTCTTTTTTTGAAGATGGTTAAAGCTGAATCTGGTATGTCCTGCTTGTTCAACATCAAAAGATATTTCACTTCTCTCAATACAGCCACTAGCTATTAAAATAAAATTATTAAAATTATTGCATATTTTCATAAGATCATTCTATTTTAACTCAAGTTTAACTTGAAACACTTAAGATGTTATCCAAGGATTACTATATTTTCAAATCATCAAGGTAAATAGGCTTTGTTTCATACATTTTTAAAAAATAAAAATCATACTTTCTGTAATACAGTAAAGGTATATGAATTATCCCTAAAACATTTTAAGAAATTAGTTTCTATAAATTGGTTTCACGAAATCACAAAGTAGAGAGAATCCTCAGTTCTCTGTATCATATATTTAGATATGTGTGCTGAGTTTTACCAGCAAAATCAAGTGTGTATATATTTTAGGGAAACGGATCAGGATTCGGGCATAGAGTTTGCCTACTGAACTCAGTGAGGCTAACTTTCTCACTTCCTAGGCATGCACTTGGACGGTCAAGAGAGACTCCAGCTAATCACTAATAGTGAATGTACAATCTTCACCCCTAAAAATTCAGCTAGATGTTTAAGGCACTTTGTGCTTTGTCATGGAAACCACAAACAGATTTTCTTTTTTTATTGTACTTTAAGTTCTGGGGTACATGTGCAGAGCATGTAGGTTTGTTACACAGGTATACACACACCATGGTAGTTGGCTGGATCCATCAACCCATCATCTACATTAGGTATTTCTCCTAATGCTATCCCTCCACTAATCCCCAACCCCCTGCTGGTCCCTGGTGTGTGATGTTCCCCTCCCTGTGCCCATGTGTTCTCATTGTTCGACTCCCAATTATAGGTGAGAATATGCAGTGTTTGGTTTTCTGTTCTTGTATCAGTTTGCTGAGAATGATAGTTTCCAGCTTCATCCATGTCTCTGTAAAGGGCATGAACTCATCCTTTTTCATGGCTGCATAGTTTTCTATGGTGTATAGGAGCCACATTTTCTTTATCCAGTCTATCATTGATGGGCATGTGGGTTGGTTCCAAGTCTTTCCTATTGTAAACAGTGCTGCAATGAACATACATGTGCATGTGTCTTTATAATAGAACAATTTATAATTCTTTGTGTATCTACCCAGTAATGGAATTGCTAGGTCAATTGGTATTTCTAATTCTAGATCCTTGAGGAATTGCCGCACTATTTTCCACAATGGCTGAACCAATTTACATTCCCACCAACAGTAGAAAAGCATTCCTATTTCTCCAGACCCTCTCCAGCATCTGTCGTCTCTTGACTTTTTAATGATCGCCATTCTAATTGGCATGAGATGGTATCTCAATGCGGTTTTGATTTGCAACAAATAGATGTTCTTATAAGCTTGCCTGCTACCATAAAGCATATCCATGGTAATAAATAGAAAAGAAAGCTCATTTTGAGTCTCATATCTAACAAAGTGCCAGACATGGAGATCTGTTATTTAAAATATATAATATGCATATACACATATATACATGCACATCTAGTATTTATTAAATATATGCACATCTTGTATAATTATATACACATCTATAAATGGTAACAAAGTCCCATTGTTACATAACACATAATGAAATTATGAGAAAATGAAATTTTCTTTGAGAAAATACATGAAATTTCCTTTGTTACATGATTTACCATGCAGTAACAAAAGACCTGTCAATGAAGATAATATTCATCCTGGACATTATTTAACTGTTAATATTTTTATATTAATGTGTTTTATGTTTTTAAAATTACCATCAGTTTAAGTACCATATATAAGCTACTGTCCCTTTGAAGAAATGACAAATAAAATTTATCACTGTTCATCAAAAGCATGACATGTCTTTTGATGAAATTTTAACTAAAAAACTGGTGTATGTTATGAATGTATTTAGGCCAGAAACTATCTGGTAAAGACAAATGATTCAATTCAGTTGAGCTAACATTTCCTAAGCATTATGAAGTGCCAGACACTACACTAGAAACATAGAGCATAAAGACTGGATGAAATGAATGCTACTCTCAGTGGCTCATTATCTAGTGAGGGTAGGGTGGTAAAGAAATAATTATACTACAAATTAATAAAGTAATTAGTATAATTTGAGAAACAAATCTCTACAGCAAAGTCATACTAGAAATTGTTTACAGTTATATCCCTCAAAACTCTAATATTTTCCCAAAATAAATTACAAATGACTGGAAATATCAGAAATATGCTTATAATAAAAAGGGCACTTATAAATCATCTTAAAAAGTCAAATTCCTACCTTTGGGTCAAAGTTGACACAGAGAAGACCATTTATGGAACTGAATTTTACCAAGGGTTGATTCAAATTGAATTCGCAGATGTCATCCACATTACTTTTCCATTCATTATAGATAAGATTTTCAAATTGTTCAAGCAAAGTGGTCATTTCAACATACTTTTGGTAAACTAAGTCATTATCAGGATTGCCCAAAAATCTGTAAGAATAAGATTTTTCTACTGGCTTATTCATATATTACATAGATTTCAGCTTAATAATTGTATAATACAATACACAATATAAAACATATAAAATAGGATAATGCACTATAAACAACCAGGAAAAGAAACAATCAGGAAGATAAACAATTCATTATGTCTATGAATGGGTTTTACTTTAAAAGATAAAGTTATCAAATGAATGAAACTCCAAAAATGTTACGAAACATTGATAGCAACAAGCTACCAGCTCCAATGAAGAGAAGAAAAAGACACAAAGACTGGATAACAAAAGCAGTGTTACTTATTGGAAAAAGGAAAAGCAATTACAGCAAAAAACTCCAAACATGGCAGGTGGAAAAGACAAGTAAAAAGAAACAAGGACCAGAAAGCGTGTAAGCATATCAAGTTCTAAGAGTGCCATTATAAATATTCCAAAACCATGGGGATGATCCCTCTCCACAAACCCAACCAGTGACAGAAGTAAACAGGGCAATGGCTTCCTAAGTGCTAATATGAATAGCTCACTCCCTTATATAAAACATCACCCATAACATTAGGATCACGTGCCATGATCTAAGCTTAACTACTCACAGATAACGGAGAGATGCAAAGTTTGACCAAAACATGTGAAGTCGTTGGAGGACCTGATGGGCCCATTTGATATTTCCTGAGGTAAACGGCATGTTCTTGTTAAGAACTACATGTCCATGTTCAATCTGCAAGTTGGTATTTTGGTGAAGAGGAAGAAAGGGAACATTTAGTCAGAATGCCTATTGGTCATTTTTTTTTCTTTTTTCGAGACAGAGTCTCACTCTGTCACCAGGCTGCAGTGCAGTGGTGCGATTTCAGCTCACTGCAACCTCAGACTCCCTGGTTCAAGCAATTCTCCTGCCTCAGTATCTCGAGTAGGTAGGACTACAAGCAGGTGCCACCATGCCCAGCTAATTTTTTTTTTTTTTTTGTATTTTTAGTAGAGACCAGGTTTCGCCATGTTGACCAGGATGGTCTCAATCTCTTGACCTTGAGATCCACTTGCCTTGGCCTCCCAAAATGCTGGGATTAGCCTCCCAACCTTTTAAAAAATTGTTGATTTTGGTATTTTTACAGTAGTATAAAACATATGTGTTTAATCACTTGATTACTAGAGGAGTTACAGTCCTAAAGCAAGTTTACCATTACGATGAGGCAACCGTTAAACAAAAGCACAAAAACGTAGCGCCCATATATAATCTTTAGGTACAATCACATCAAGTTCCAGTTGATGGTCATTATCTGCAAAAATGATATTATGAATGTGCCCAACCTTATCTGCCACTTACCTGTTTCATGTGTTCACTGTACAACTGCTTACATACATCCAGCTCTGTATTAAACATATGCACTAGTGTGCAGTAATGTAGGCTGAAAATTTCCATGACAACTGGCTTCTCTAGAAAATTTCCAAATACGGTCAAAAGCTATAAAAATCAAAGTTAAGGAAATGTTAAGCACTATGAGTTTTTAACACAAATAGCTTACAATTTCCCCTTTCAAACCTCTTACGACTAAAGTTTAGAATCTTCAAAGTATCCTGGGTTGCTTCAAAATGTAAAATCTGTTTTTGCACCTCTCTAAAATTTCTGTACATCCAATAAACCAATTCTAGATGTAAAATAATTTCCCTTCCTCAGCAGAAAGGAACCACTGTCTGCCTGCAATCTCTGCCCACCGCTAATACTATTTCCTATGGGGTGCCAGGTAATGTTTCAGAAGATGCTTTTTGGATGTAAGAACAGAAACAAGATTCACATATTCATTATTGTTCTTCCCTCCTACATATGTATTCTTTAGATATAAATATCCATATATCCATATTGAGGCCCTCTAGGTCACAGCATGAATAATTATACCAGATGTGCCAGTCACTATGACCCCTTGCCTACAGCACCCGGTACATCCACGTGACTCAGCCACCCTCAACAGTGTCCTGGGGCTACGGCAGTGACTGTTCCAAGGACAACCACTCTACTGGTGGATGACCCCTGTGACATGGATGCCCTGGCTCAAATCAATGCCTTGAGCTAATCAGATTGTTTCTCAGAGAGTCAGGACCTGGCTGAATCCATGCTGGCTAAAATTATCAGTGAGCAGAAACTGCTAACAAGCGGAGGAAGCCAACTGATAGGGGGACAGAAGCAAGCAGACACAGGCTGAGCAGGATCACATCGCCAGCAAAGCAAGAGTGAAGTCTCACAACCTCCTCTCGTTCAGTCAATGGAGGCCCCAAGATTTCAAACTTACCTTCACTGCCAGTGTTCACAAGGTAGATTCCCAGTGAGTCTAATTTTAGATTCCCATTAGTCTCTTGTCTTGTTTACTACCCAATGTGGATTCTTCTGTGTGCTAGCATAAAACAGCTCTTCCCTTGCAAGCAAAATGATGTAACTAATATATATATATTTTTATATAACCAATGTTTCTATAGGCTATGTCCCAGGAACTATATGTTAAGGGCCTTAAAAGTGCTGTTATTATCACACATTCCAGGTGAGGAAACTGAGTTATAAGGAGGGAATGATTTTCCCAAATTCATATAGCTAGTGGCGGAGCTGGGACTGGAAATTCGGGTCTAGCATTTGGGTTTGTGCTTCACTGTGTGGCTTTTATCAGCTAATACGTCATTGAAAGTTATATCATTTTGTTATCTGATCATTCTGTGTGGACTTCATAATATGTTAGTTATTAAGCCTGTCAGGTAGATAGTCTTTGAAAGAAGACATTTTCTCAAAATAACTAAGTATATTTATGGTGGCAGAAAAATTGTATCCAAGATCATGCCTTATTTAACAATATGGCAAAGGAGGGGGCTTCGTTCTTTTTCTTAAGGAAATAATAGGTGAGCCCTCAAACTAGTTTCACTTTAAAAAACAGCTTAATAAAGAATTTGCAAATATTTCCATAAACTACATTCTCTGAAAATAAAATTACCACCAAAAAATTATAGAAACTAAGATGTGTTAGCTGGGTGTGGTGGTGCCTGCCTGTAATCCCAGCTACTCAGGAGGCTGAGGCAGGACAACTGCTTCAACCTGGGAGTCGGAGGTTGCAGTGAGCAGTGATTGTCCCATTGCACTCCAGCCTGGGCAACAGAGTAAGACTGTATCAGAAAAGAAAGAAAAGAAAAGAAAGAAACTAAAATTTAACTCTAACTATACCTTAGGGGCCATTTTGGACAAACACATTCTGACTTTTTCTGGTAACATCAATAATAACTACAGTAGAAACTGCAAAGTATTTCTAAATCCACTTGGCTGCTACCTAGCAAAATGTAAATGGTTAATTTTCTTCCCAAAGCCACTGTTTTGTTGAGATTGGGTTTCAAATACAAATTCTAAAGTAAACACTGCCTTATTAACAAGAAAGTATTCTCCAACAAGAATTGGTAAGTATATTTATTTCACAACATTGTTTTTTCACACTCACCGTACTGACCACAATGACAAGAATACCAGAACCTTCCAGCTACATCACATCTTGCTTACCAGCTTAGCGGTCCTTAACTCCAAGTTGTGAATAGAAAATACACAGATAAAATATTCTGGGGCAAGGTTGTAAAGCCACAAAGTATTAGGAAAAGTCTCAATGTTTGAGGCAGTATACATTATTGTAATTGTTCATCATCTAAAACGTATAAAAGTTACTCTCCAGGAGGAGAGGAAACGTCATTTCAAGCTCTTGCTTCCTCGTTCACAGTAAAACTAAAAGCTATTTTATGAAGAGTAGAGATGTTTTCTTTCACATTGACTTTAAGACTAAATAGTAATTCCCACCACAGGCTTCTCTTTCTAAATATCCCATCTGAGATCTGCAAGGTTTGCCTTAATTTTGATCTACTTCTGTTTCACTGCATAATACAGCTTTTCATAACACTGTTGCATGTTCAATGTAGTACATATTTCTATTTTTCCTAGATGTGCCACTTTCAAAGATTTTTAAAAATCTGTGGCCACCTTAACCATTCACATTTTAATAGTTTTCAAAGCTATAGTCCTTTCTAGACACATTTTTTTCTTAAACATTTCAGTCTACCATCCTGTAAATTTTACAGAGCCATTCAGTAGTATTTGGTCCTGGTTTTTGGTGAGCGCCAGCACTTTCAATTCTGAAGTGCTATACTTTTATATTAGAGTAGAATAGCGCTCCATTCCAGTGCCCTTCCTGGTCATGTCTTTGACAATAGCAGGTACTGGAACAGTCTACAAATATATTTTTCCCAGACACCAACAGTAAATAGGCTCATCACCCTATCCCTATGAGCAAAATAGTTTTCTAAGTAGACAACCTTGTAATATTTTCGTCTGCCATTATACTTGCAGTTGACCCTCATCAGTATGTTATTTCATTACTTGAACTACCAGTCAGTCCACCTAGCCTCAAGTAGTTATAAATCGCCATTTTGTACCAGTCACCATGGAAAGTGATCTACACAGAAGTTGCAAGATGATGTCATACCCCCGCCGAGCTTATGACAGTATGATCTCATATTTGTTCAGTATGCAAGTCAAAAACATGAAAAGTTAAAGAAAAAAAAGATGAGAGATTAAATTGCTTATAAAAAAATTAACTGGCAGGTACTTTAACAGAATTCAAATTAATGGTTGTGAAAAAGAGAGCCTTGAATTAAAAATGGCAGGAGCATCTGTAATGAAGCTTTCACTCTACATTCTTTTTTATTTATAAAAGCATTTTAAAAACTAGTTCCAGGGAGAGATCCAAGATGGCTGATCATTAACAGCTTGGAATTGTGCCTCCCAGTGAAAGCACAGAAAACTAGAGGACGCCACACTTTCAGACGAATTTTTGTTGCTCACAGATCAGGAGATTCCCAGTGGAGGAGCCCCATGGGTTGCCAGCACTAATCTTGTGGCTAGCGCAGCGGTTTTGCCAGCACCTTGGCACGGCGGTTCTTGGTGCAGAGTAAATGGGACTGGTTCCCCTTTTGGCCAACATTTGGAGCTCTGGGAAGGCAGAATCAAGAAGGAAGCCAGACCGGAGATTCCTGGGCAGAAAAGCACCATCAGTCTTAACGCCGCTGTTTTGGCCGGCACAGTGGGTTGCTCATATTCCAGCGCTAGGAATCAATAAATTGGACGTCCACTCAGAAACCTATTATAAGAAAGGCTTATAATAGGTTTAAAGGTTTAATTACAAAGACAACAGATGGACAAATTTATAACAAAGGAAAGAAACGAGCCTAAAAAGGCTGAGAATACCCAAAATCAGAATGCCTCTCCCTCTACAGGAGATCACAGTTCCTCATCAGCAACAGAACAAGGCCTAATGGAGAAGGACTGTGTTCTATTAACAGAAGTAGGCTTCAGAAGGTGGATCATAAGAAGCTTCTGGGAGTTAAAAGAACTTGTTCCAACCCAATGCAAAGAAACTAAGAACTTTGAAAAAAGGTTTGATGAAATGCTAACAATAGACAATATAGAGAGGAATATAAGTGAATTAATGGAGTTGAAAAACACAACACAAGAACTTCGCGAAGTATGCACAAGTTTTAACAGCCGAATTGATCAGGCAGAAGAAAGGACATCAGAGGTTGAAGACCTACTTTATGAAATAAAATGAGAAGACAAGAATAGAATAAAAGGGATAAAAATGAATGAGCAAAGTCTCCAAGAAATATGGGACTATGTGAAAAGACCTCATCTGCGTTTGATTGGTGTACCCGAATGCGACAGAGAGAATGAATCCAAGCTGGAAAATACTCTTCAGGATATTATTCAGAAAAACTTTCCCAACCTACCAAGGCAGGCCAATATTCAAGTCCAGGAAATACAGAGAATCCAACAAAGACATTCCTCAAGAAGAGCAACCCCAAGGCACATAATCGTTAGATTCACCAGGGTTGAAATGAAGGAGAAAATGCTAAGGGTAGCCAGAGAGAAAGGTCAGGTTACCCACAAAGGGAAGCCTATCAGACTCACAGCAGATCTCTTAGCAGAAACCCTACAAGCCAGAAGAGAGAGGGGGCCAATATTTAACATCCTTAAAAAAAAGAACTTTCAACCCAGAATTTCATATCCAGCCAAACCACGCTTCATAAGTGAAGGAAAAATAGAATCTTTTGTGAACAAGCAAGTACTCAGAGATTTCATTACCACGAGGCCTGCTTTACAAGAGCTTCTAAAAGAAGCATTACATATAGAAAGGAACAACCAGTATTAACCTTTTTAAAAAAATACCGAAAAGTAAAGAGCATCAACATAATGAAGAATTTGCATCAACTAATGGGCAAAACAGCCAGCTAACATCAAATGGCAGTAATTCTAAATTTAAGTTGACTAAATCCCCCAATCAAAAGATACACCAAAACCCATTGGTATGTTGCATCCAGAACCATCTTACATGCAAGGATACATAGAGACTCAAAACAGAGGGATAGAGAAAGATTTGCCAACCAAATGGAGAGCAAAAATAAAGAAATAAATAAAAAGCAGAGGTTGCAATTCTTGCCTCTGATGGAATGGATTTTAAAGCAACAAAGATCAAAAGAGGACATAATGGTAAAAGGATCAATGCAACAAGAAGAGCTAATGATCCTAAATATATACACACCCAACACAGGATACATAAGACTTATAAAGAGACTTAGACTCCCACACAGTAGTTGTGGGAGATTTCAACATTTCAAGATCAATATTAGATAGATCAATGAGACAGAAAATTAATAAGGATATACAGGACTTGAACTCAGATCCAGAACAAGTAATTAATAAGGCTATCCAGGACTTGAACTCAGATCCAGAACAAGTAAACTTAATAAACATTTATAGAACTCTCCACTTTAAACACACAAGATATGCACTCTTATCAGTACCACATCACACCTACTTACAGGTTTAAATGAAATATTGGTTGGCCATTATTAAGCACAATTGATGGTATAAGGGAGGTTTTCAATACCCATTTTTAGACTGCATTCTAGCCTGGGCAATTAAGTAACACTCTCGTTCTCTCTCCCTCTTCCTCTTCCTCTTTTTCCCTCTTCTTCATTCCTTTTCTCTTTATTTTTTTTTTAAAAGAAAAGAAAATATGTTTTCAAGCATTATAAAATAAACACATTGAAGAATTTCCAGGCCAGGAATGGTGGCTCATGCCTGTAATTCCAGCACTTTGAGAAGCTGAGGCAGGAGGGTCACTTGAGTCCACAAGTTCAAGACAAGCCTGGGCAACAAAGCAAGACCATGTCTCTACCAAAAAAAAAAACTAGTTCCGGTAACAAAGAATAGACTATTACACAGATATTTAAAAAAAAAAATAGTAGTTGAATTCTGTTATAAAGGCAAGAAAAAATTTTATGACTTTGTTAAGTGAAGAAGATTATTATAGCAGAGGTTTAAAATATAATGTCATTTTTGTCCAAGAGAAACATGTATGAATAGCTAGGCAAAGAAAAAATAGTGGCAATATTAAAGATAATAGTAATTATACCTGAGAGATGAGATTACAGATCATTTTATAACAACAGGCTGTATATTTTGGCTAATGGCACTTCAGTTTCATTGAAGAGTTCTTAAAAAACAAACAATGATTTGATCTTCATGAATTCTTTTTCTACTTTAAGTTCTGGGGTTCATGTGCAGATAGTGCAGGTTTGTTACATAGGTATACACATGCCATGTGATTTTCTGCACCCATAAACCCCTCATCTACACTAGGTATTTCTCCTACTGCTATCCCTCCCCAAGACCCCCACCCCCAACATGCCTCAGGGTGTGATGCTGCCCTCGTGTCCATGTGTTCTCATTGTTCGATACCCACTTATGAGTAAGAACACATAGTGTTTGGTTTTCTGTTCCTGTGTTAGTGTGCTGAGAATGATGGATTCCAGCTTCATCCATGTCCCTGCAAAGGACAGAAACTCATCCTTTTTATGGCTGCATAGTATTCCATGGTGTTTATGTGCCACATTTTCTTTATCTAGTCTATTACTGATGGGCATTTGGGTTGGTTCCAAGTCTTCGTTATTGTGAACATTGCTGCAATAAACATACAGGTGCATGTGTCTTTATAGCTGAATGATTTATAATCCTTTGTGTATATACCCAGTAATGGGATTACTGGGTCAAATTGTATTTCTGGTTTTAGATTCTTGAGGAAATGCCACACTGTCTTCTACAATGGTTGAACTAATTTACACTCCAATAGTGTAAAAGTGTTCCTATTTCTCCATATCCTCTCCAGCATCTGTTGTTTCCTGACTTTTTAATGAATGCAATAACTGGCATGAGATGGTATCTCAATGGGGTTTTGATTTGCATTTCTCTAATGACCAGTGATGATAAGCTTTTTTTTCATGTTTATTGGCCACAAACACATCTTCTTTTGAGAGGTGTCTATTCATATCTTTTGCCCACTTTCTGATGGAGTTGTTTTTTTCTTGTAAATTTGTTTAAGTTCCTTGTAGATTCTGGATATTAGCCCTTTGTCAGATGGGTAAATTGCAAAAATTTTCTTCCATTCTGTAGGTTGCCTACTAACTCTAATGATAGCTTCTTTTGCTGTGCAGAAGCTCTTTAATAAGATCCCATTTGTCAATTTTAGCTTTTGTTGCCATTGCTTTTGGTGTTTTAGTCATGAAGTCTTTGCCCATGCCTATGTCCTGAATGGTATTGCCTAGGTTTTCTTCTAGAGTTTTCATGGTTTTAGGTCTTAAGCTTGTCTTTAATCCACCTTAAGTCAATTTTTGTATAAGGTGTAACAAAGGAATCCAGTTTCAATTTTCCGCATATGGCTAGCCAGTTTTCCATTGCACCATTAATTAAATAGGGAATCCTTTTCTCTTTGCTAGTTTTTCAAAGATCAGATGGTTGTAGATGTGTGGCGTTATATCCAAGGTTTGTCAAAGATCAGATGGCTGTAGATGTGTGGCATTATATCCAAGGCCTCTGTTCTGTTCCATTGGTCTATATCTCTCTCTGTTTTGGTACCAGTATTATGCTGTTTTGGTTACTGTAGCTTTGTAGCATAGTTTGAAGTCAGGTAGTGTGATGCCACCAATTTTGTTCTTTTTGCTTTGGATTGTCTTGGCAATGTGGGCTCTTTTTTAGTTCCATATGAAATTTAAAGTAGTTTTCTCTAATCCTGAAGAAAGTCAATGGTAACTTGATGGGGATAACATCTAATCTATAAATTACTTTGGGCAGTATGGCCATTTTCACCATATTGATTCTTCCTATCCAGGTCCTCATGAATTCTTTAAGTTAAAATGCTTGACTGGGACCAGATAACACTGGTGGCTTCATCACTGACTAGCCAATTCATTTGAAGGTCAAAATCGAACACTATCTTTAAAAAAATCTGTGTCTGCTATATTGCTTGGCACTGCCATTCTCAGTGAATTATACCCAGGATTTCTTAGCTCTTTTTCTTTTGATACAAAATGCTCCATTCCTCTTTTGGCATATCATCTAATTATTAACTTATACTTGATTTGTAATTTTATTTCTTTGTCAAGCAAGTTTTACGTGGCGTTTCTATTCCTCATATTATAAGCTTTTCATTTGGGGGCACTATCATGTTACTTTTCTTTATGTAACTCTTAACCATATTTCATCAATTCTGTGACAAGCATACTTTTATGTTTCAAAATCTATGCAACTGAATTACACAGTCAATGAAATCGTAATTATTTGGCAGTATTTTTTCCTTTATTGGAACATAAAATAATGGTGTGTCTGATAATCAATGATGTCTTATGCCTGCGTAAATACAGTATATAAATTGCTATTTGTTTCAGTCAGAATAATAAAATAGACAGATGAACCTAATGTATCTAAACAATGGTAAATAAAAGAAATTCCAGAATTAAGGTATTTTTCACTTTTTACTTTGACTTAATTTTAAATCCATATTTCACTGGCCAGGACAAACTTGCTGTGAAGGTAATGAGAGCTAAAACACTGTGAATGCAAGAAAAGAAAAGTAACTGAAAGTTCTAAAATAATCTTGTTCAAAGTGTCATTATTCATTAGTACATTATTCAAAGTTTATTATTCAGTTAGCTGAATTTGAAGGGAATGTGACTAGTTAACCTATTTAATACTCTTCTTGAATCACAATTTACCCCTTTCATCTAACAGCCTATATTATTCATTAGTAAAACATTTTTTATGACAGCTTCTTCAGAACTAACCTTAAATGCAGCTTCTAAGCCATTGCAGTTAAAGAAAGCTTCACAAACCATTGTCCCAAGCCTTCTGTCAAAATCCAGAGTTTTGGACTTAAATGCGACATAATCACTTTCAAATTCCTGTAAAATTCAAAGTAAAGTATTAGTGTACTCGAAAGAATACAGTAGTGAAAACAGCAATCACACAAGTGTGACCTTATTTTAGTGCGCTCTCTCTCTCTCTCTCTCTCTGAGTGATTTTATTATTTCATAGCAGGATTCCAGGGAAAATAAAGAATAGCTACAGCTGACTGACTGCAAGTACCACCTTACAGAAACACTGAAAGCTTAGCACTGTTCCCCTATGCTTTCCCAGTCTTTTTCGGTGGCTCAGCCCCCAACACCAGAGCTGTGGCCAGCATGCTCACATAGAAGCCTCAGTCTCTCCTCCTTCTCCCAATCCATTTTGATTATAAATGAAAAAGTGACGTTTTTCAGAAAAGAAAAAACATATTCCCATTATAACTAATCTATCTACAAGTTTAAATAGGAAGGGTTTTGTTTTTGCACCCAGTGGAAACTCTATATGGAAACACTGTTTCTTCAAGTAAGAACTGAAATCCACAGGTATGAAAACATCATTAGTGATACAGAGAAAACACTCTTACATTTTCCCAGTTTCTTATTAGCACGCACTTAACATCCCTCAGTTTCCTCCTAATACATAATCACCACTCCATAATTAGAAACAATAAAACAGCGTAAGAATAACTATCATGTTCATAGCATCAGAATTGAGTCTCCAGTAAAGTCATCCCTGGATTTCACAAACATTTTGGTGCTTTGTAGTCAAAAGGCCACTGAAGCACACACCACAGATTTCTCATAATGAAGGCCTCTGCCCACTCTGTAAGCTGAGCCTCCGTCTATTAACAACAACAACAACAGTAATAGAATAAATGACAGCTAGCACATAAGTAATTCTTTTCTAAATGCTTTACATGATTAACTCAATTCTTACAACATCTGATGGACGTAGTAATTTTTTCTGCCTTATAGGTGACAAAACAAACTCAGAGAAGTTAAGTGACTCACCTAAAATCACACCACTGGTAAATGTCAGGGCTGGAATTTAAAGCCAGGCAGCCTGGCTCCAGATCCCAGAGGCTATGTTTCTTTGAAGGAATATACCTGCTAGCATCTGAATATTTATGTCCTTGCAAAATTCATATTTTGAAATTGGAACCCTCAATGCGATGGTATCAAGAAGTGGTGCTTTTGGGAGGTGATTAGGTAATAAGTGTGGGACCTTCATGAACGGGATCAATGTCTACATAGAAAAGGCCTGAGAGAGACCCCTCCATCCTTCCACTAAGTAAGGATACAGAAAGTGCAATCCATCAACTGGGATGTAGCCCTCTCCAGACACTGAATCTGCTGGAGCCTTGCTCTTGGACTTCTTAGCCACTAAAACTCTGAAAAATAAATTTCTGTCATTTCTAACATACCCAGTTCATGGTGTTTGGTTATAGCAACCTAAACAGAGAGCACCTTATGCTGAATTTCACACAAACTGAAAAGTAGTGTAACAACAAAGTTCTAGGACGCTACATGTCATACACCACATGTTGTATTTAGCATCAAAAGGAAGTCTCCACTTCTGAATTACAGTCAAGCAATCTCTTCATTCAAGAATCATTGGCTAATAAAGTAAACACAACTTCCCAACAAGTTTTAACAAGCCTAACATCCCTCTTCTTACTATGGTAACAGAGAATATACAGCTTAAGTCCCCAAACATTAACTGAACATTTAGAAATCAACATCTCAGGGAGAGGAAAATATGCTAGTCTCCCTGCCTGATCTCTCTCCCTCACCTCCCTCCAGCCTCACTCGTTTCCTGAAAACAAATTTAGAACTGCACGTGTGACCTCCCCCTTGGAAAGTCCAATAGAAAATTCACACTTAATTTGTTCAAGTACATATCTGTACCCATTATCTTCTCTATAAAACTGCTCTTTTTTTCCTATACCCTAACAGAAACTTGGGCAACCTCCATGACTTCTCTGTCAAGTGCTCTTCTAACTGCCTCTGGAGTGACCTTCTACCTACCTCTGGAGTCTCTCTACTATTCTCCATCTTTCCAGGCATGCCCCGGGCGAGGCCACCATTATTGCTCATCTGGATTTCTGCTAACCACTTTTTTTTAACTACTCTGTTTGCCTCTAGTCCTGTCTCTGATTCATCCTCCAACTGCAGCCTAAATGATCTTTTTAAAAGAGAATGCTTGTATCATTTTCTTACTTAGAATGCTTTAACTCATAATCTCAATTCAGAATTGTCAGTTTCTGAGGATAATGTCCAAAGGTCTTATAATCATGTATTATATAGGACCCTATGCAGTCTATGTGCCACTTACTGCTCCCATTCTGCCACCTCTCCCAATTTCACACTCTAGGATCCAGCCACAGAGCTTCATCACATTCTGTCTCTCTCCTTCACCCACTTCTCACCTGCTTCATTTCTATTTATGTTACAGTTCTCAGTTTATTTTTCACCTCCTCTGGAAAGGGGCCCTGGGCAAATGCTCTGTATTCTTCATACCCCAGCACTGGGCACCTATCTAATAACTGCCTATCTACATTCTTCCTCAGATTCTGAGTATAACCACCAGGTTTATTTTCTTTCACAATTACAGTACCAATATTTAATGAGGTTCCCAGGACTTAGCTGTTTCTCAATAAATACATATTACAGAATAAATGATGTACTAGTATTATTCAGAAATCATTATAAGAATGTTTCTATATTCTGAACACTGAATAACTGCCTATATTAGCATCACGAGAGGCTACTGAAGGGTTGTAATTAGAGAAAAGCCATGGTTTGACTTAGTATCTAAAAGGCACTCAGGCTGTCACGTAGAGAGTAAACTAACAAAGCAAAGACAGGAAAGGGAGCAGTTTAGAGTCAAGGTCAATAATCCAAGTCACAGACAAGACTTGGATATACTTTCAAGGCAGATCCAAAAGAACTGGATGTTTGTTGTGAGAAAGTGAGCAAGATTACAGATGACTCAAACATTTCTCACCATGTAGCCCATCATATGGTCATTCAATGAGTTGGAGAGGCAGGCAAGAATAGGTTTGTGGAGGGATAAAGCAGGGATACAGATCTGATTTTTGAGATGTGTATGAACTATCTCAGTGGAGACACTGAGTAGGTGGTTGTGGTTGGCACGTGTTTCGTTACATTTGGCTCTTAGGAAAGTCTTTCACCTTTTAAGTACAATGTGCTTTAGGCTTTTAGTAGATGTTCTTTACCAAGTTTACGAACTGAACTTTCTCTCTACTCCTATTTTTAAGAGTTTTCATCATAAATGAGTATTACATTTGGCCAAATTTGTTTCCTGCATCAGTTAACACAATCATGGGATTTTCTTCTTTGGCCTGTTAATATGAGAATTACACTGATTTCAAATATTGAACTAGCCTTGCATACCTAGAATAAATCTCACTTTAACATAGTATATAATTCCTTTTATATTGGTGGGAATGTAGATTGCTACAGCCATTATGGAAAAGAGTATGGAGATTCCTAAAGAGGTTAGTTAGAACTACCGTATGACCAAGTACTCCCTCTTCTACGTAAATTCCCAAAGGAGATGAAATTACCATCTCATAAAGATATCTACACTCCCACATTCACTGCAGCACTATTCACAGCAGCCAAGATCCAGAAATGACCTAAGTATGGATGGACACATGGATATTAAGAAACATATATTTGTGTATATGTGTATATGCACATATATTATATATTATATATAATACATACACACATGCACATGTAATGACAAATCTATAAACATAATCCATCACATAAACAAAACCAAAGACAAAAACCACCTGATAATCTCAACGGATGCAGAGAAGGTCTTCTACAAAATTCAACAGCCCTTTATACTAAAAACTCCCAATAAACTAGGTGTCACTGGAACATATCTCAAAACAATAAAAGCTATTTATGACAAACCCACAGCCAATATCATACTGAATGGGCAAAAACTGGAAGCATTCCCTTTAAAAACTGGCACAAGACAAAGATGCCCTCTCTCATTACTCCTATTCAACATAGCATTGGAAGTTCCGGCCAGTACAATCAGGCAAGAAAAATAAATAAAGAGTATTCAATTAGGAAAGGAGGAAGTAAAATTGTCTCTGTTTGCAGACAACATAATTGTATACTTAGAAAACCCCATCATCTCAGCCCAAAATCTCCGTAAGTCAATAAGCAACTTAAGCAAAGTCTCAGGATACAAAATCAATGTGCAAAAATCATAAGCATTCCTATACACCAGTAATAGACAAAAAGTCCAATCATGAGTGAACTCCCAATTACAATTGCTACAAAGGAATAAAATACCTAGGAATACAACTAACAGGGGATGTGAAGGACCTCTTCAAGAAGAACTATAAACCACTGCTCAAGGGAATAAGAAAGGAAACAAACATATGGAAAAACATTCCATGCTCATGGTTAGGAATAATCAGTATCATGAAAATGGCTATACTGCCCAAAGTAATTTATAGATTTAATGCTATTCCCATCAAGTTACCATTGATTTTCTTCACAGAATTGGAAAAAGCCACTTTAAATTTCATATGGAACCAGAAAAAAAGCCTGCATAGTGAAGATAATCCTAAGCAAAAAAAAAAAAAAAAAAAAAAAAAAAAAAAAAAAAAAAAAAAAGGGCAGGGGATATACAGAGGAAAGATCCAAGGTGGCCGTTCAGGAAGAGCTCAGGATTGCAGCTCCCAGTGAAAGCGCAGAGGGTGAGTGGACACTGCATTTCCAGATGAATTTTTATTGCCCACAGACCAGGAGATACCCAGGCGGAGGAGCCCCATAGGTCACCAATGTGGCTGTTTTGGCCAGCAAGGCTGCTTTGGCTGGCCGCAGCTGCTTTGCCCAGCGCGGCGGTTCTCCACACAAAATACACTGGTCTGGGTGCCCTTTTAGCTGGCAATCGAAGCCCCGGTAAGTCACTCATTCATCTGATTAAAAAGGGGACTGAACAGCGAGCCAGGCCAGGAGATTCCTGGGCAAAAAAAGTGCCACGGAACTCAGCGCTGCTGTTT